AACTAGTTCTAAATTCTGGGTACTACAGAGTTGTGGTAGACCTGTACACTATAACTAGTTCTAAATTCTTTATACTTCAGAGTAGTGGTAGACCTGTACACTATAACCGGTTCAAAATTCTGGGTACTATAGATTTATGGTAAACCTGTAGGCTAGTTCTAAATTCTTGATACTTAAGAGTTGTGGTAGAACTGTACACTATAACTAGTTCTAAATTCTAGGTACTATAGAGTAGTACAAGACCTGTACACTATAACTAGTTCTAAATTCTGGGTACTACAGGGTAGTGCTTGACCTGTACACTACAACTTGTTCTAAGTTTTGGGTACGACAGAGTAGTGTTTGACATGTACATTATAACTAGTTCTCAATGTTGGGTACTATCTAGTAGTCCTGATCATTGTGTACATGACATCACAGTCTCGTAGTCCTAATCATTGCGTACATGACATCACCGTCGAGTTGTCCTGATCATTGTGTACATGACAACACAGTCCTCTATTTTGTGTACTACAGAGTACTACTAGACCTGTACACTATAACTAGTTCTAAATTCTAGGTACTACAGAGTAGTGCTTGACCTGTACACTATAACTAGTTCTTAATTCTGGGTACTACAGAGTAGTGATAGACCTGTACACTATAACTAGTTCTTAATTCTGGGTACTACAGAGTAGTGGTTGACCTGTACACTATAACTAGTTCTCAATTCTGGGTACTACTAGAGTTGTCCTGATAATTGTGTACACTACAACTAGTTCTAAATTTTGTGTACTACAGAGTAGTGGAAGACCTGTACACTATAACTAGTTCTAAATTCTGGGTACTACAGAGTAGTACAAGAAATGTACACTATAACTAGTTCTAAATTCTAGGTACTATAGAGTAGTTCTTGGCCTGTACACTATAACTAGTTCTAAATTCTGGGTACTACAGAGTAGTACAAGAAATGTACACTATAACTAGTTCTAAATTCTTGATACTTAAGAGTTGTGGTAGAACTGTACATTATAAGTAGTTCTAAATTTTTGCTACTACAGATTAGTGCAAGACCTGTACACTATAACTAGTTCTAAATTCTGGGTACTACAGAGTAGTGCTTGACCTGTACACTATAACTAGTTCTTAATTATTGGTACTACAGAGTAGTACAAGACCTGTACACTATAACTAGTTCTTAATTCTGGGTACTACAGAGTAGTGCTTGACCTGTACACTATAACTAGTTCTTTAATTTTGGCTACTACAGATTAGTGCAAGACCTGTACACTATAACTAGTTCTAAATTCTAGGTACTACAGAGTAGTACAAGACCTCTACACTATAACTAGTTCTTTAATTTTGGCTACTACAGATTAGTGCAAGACCTGTACACTATAACTAGTTCTAAATTCTTGGTACTACGGAGTAGTGCTAGACCTGTACACTATAACTAGTTCTTAATTATTGGTACTACGGAGTAGTACAAGACCTGTACACTATAACTAGTTCTAAATTCTGGGTACTACAGAGTTGTGGTAGACCTGTACACTATAACTAGTTCTAAATTCTTTATACTTCAGAGTAGTGGTAGACCTGTACACTATCACCGGTTCAAAATTCTGGGTACTACAGAGTTGTGGTAGACCTGTACACTATAACTAGTTCTAAATTCTTTATACTTCAGAGTAGTGGTAGACCTGTACACTATAACTAGTTAAACCTAGGCTAGTTCTAAATTCTGTGGGTACTATAAGAGTAGTTGTGGTAGAACTGTACACTATAACTAGTTCTAAATTCTAGGTACTACAGAGTAGTGCTTCACCTGTATACTAAAACTAGTTCTTAATTTTGGCTACTACAGATTAGTGCAAGACCTGTACACTATAACTAGTTCTAAATTCTTGGTACTACAGAGTAGTGATAGACCTGTACACTATAACTAGTTCTAAATGTTGGGTACTATCTAGTAGTCCTGATCATTGTGTACATGACATCACAGTCTCTAGTCCTAATCATTCTGTACATGACATCACTCGTCAAGAGTTGTCCTGATCATTGTGTACATGACAACACAGTCCTCTATTTTGTGTACTACAGAGTACTACTAGACCTCTACACTATAACTAGTTCTAAATTCTGGGTACTACAGAGTAGTGCTTGACCTGTACACTATAACTAGTTCTTAATTATTGGTACTACAGAGTAGTACAAGACCTGTACACTATAACTAGTTCTTAATTCTGGGTACTACACAGTAGTCCTTGACCTGTACACTATAACTAGTTCTCAATTCTGGGTACTGTCTAGTTGTCCTGATAATTGTGTACATGACAACACAGTCCTCTATTTTGTGTACTACAGAGTAGTGGAAGACCTGTACACTATTACCGGTTCTTAATTCTGGGTACTACAGAGTAGTGATAGACCTATACACTATAACTAGTTCTAAATTCTAGGTATTAAAGAGTAGTGCAAGACCTGTACACTATAACTAGTTCTAAATTGTAGGTACTACAGAGTAGTTCTGGAACTGTACACTATAACTAGTTCTAAATGTTGGGTACTGTCTAGTAGTCCTGATCATTGTGTACATGACATCACAGTCTCGCAGTCCTTATCATTGTGTACATGACATCACTCTCTAGTTGTCCTGCTCATTGTTTACCTGACAACACAGTCCTCTATTTTGTGTACTACAGAGAAGTGCTAGAACTCTACACAATAACTAGTTCTAAGCTCTTGGAACTACGGAGTAGTGATAGACCTGTACACTATAACAAGTTCTAAATTCTTAGTACTACAGAGTTGTGCTAGATTTGAACACTATTCTAGTTCTAAATTTTGGATACTACAGGTTAGTGCTAGACCTCTACACTACAACCAGTTCTAAATTTTGTGTACTGTCTAGTAGTTCTGATCATTGTGTACATGACATCACAGTCTACTTATTCTGATGATAGTGTACATGACATCACAATCTACTTATCCTGATCATTGTGTACATGACATTACAGTCTACTTATTCTGATCATTGTTTACATGACATCACTGTCTCATAGTCCTGATCATTGTGTACATGACATTACAGTCTACTTATTCTGATCATTGTGTACATGACATCACAGTCTACTTATCCTGATCATTGTGTACATGACATCACAGTCTACTTATTCTGATCATTGTGTACATGACATCACTGTCTACTTATCCTGATCATTGTGTACATGATATCACAGTCTACTTATTCTGATCATTGTGTACATGATATCACTGTCTACTTATTCTGATCATTGTGTACATGACATCACTGTCTACTTATCCTGATCATTGTGTACATGACATCGCTGTCTCATAGTCCTGATCATTGTGTACATGACATTACAGTCTACTTATTCTGATCATTGTGTACATGATATCACTGTCTACTTATTCTGATCATTGTGTACATGACATCACTGTCTACTTATTCTGATCATTGTGTACATGACATCACAGTCTACATACTCTGATGATTGTGTACATGGCATCACTGTCTACTTACCATGATCATTGTGTACATGACATCACAGTCTACTTATCCTGATCATTGTGTACATGACATCACAGTCTACTTACTCTGATGATTGTGTACATGACATCACAGTCTACTTATCCTGATCATTGTGTACATGACATCACTGTCTACTTATTCTGATGATTGTGTACATGACATCACTGTCTACTTATCCTGATCATTGTGTACATGACATCACAGTCTCGTAGTCCTGATCATTGTGTACATGACATCACTGTCTACTTATCCTGATCATTGTGTACATGACATCACTGTCTACTTATCCTGATCATTGTGTACATGACATCACAGTCTCGTAGTCCTGATCATTGTGTACATGACATCACTGTCTACTTATCCTGATCATTGTGTACATGACATCACAGTCTACTTATCCTGATCATTGTGTACATGACATCACTGTCTACTTATTCTGATCATTGTGTACATGACATCACTGTCTACTTATCCTGATGATTGTGTACATGACATCACTGTCTACTTATTCTGATCATTGTGTACATGACATCAGTGTCTACTTATCCTGATCATTGTGTACATGACATCACTGTCTACTTATTCTGATCATTGTGTACATGACATCACTGTCTACTTATTCTGATCATTGTGTACATGACATCACAGTCTACTTACTCTGATGATTGTGTACATGACATCAGTCTACTTACCCTGATCATTGTGTACATGACATCACAGTCTACTTATCCTGATCATTGTGTACATGACATCACAGTCTACTTATCCTAATCATTGTGTACATGACATCACAGTCTACTTATCCTGATCATTGTGTACATGACATCACAGTCTACTTATTCTGATCATTGTGTACATGACATCACTGTCTACTTATCCTGATCATTGTGTACATGACATCACTGTCTACTTATCCTGATCATTGTGTACATGACATCACAGTCTACTTACTCTGATCATTGTGTACATGACATCACAGTCTACTTATCCTGATCATTGTGTACATGACATCACAGTCTCGTAGTCCTAATCATTGTGTACATGACAACACAGTCTACTAGTCCTGATCATTGTGTACATGACTTTACGGTCTACTTATCCTGATCATTGTGTACATGACATCACTGTCTACTTATCCTGATCATTGTGTACATGACATCACTGTCTACTTATCCTGATCATTGTGTACATGACATCACTGTCTAGTTGTCCTGATCATTGTGTACATGACATCACTGTCTACGTATCCTGATAATTGTGTACATGACATCACTGTCTACTTATCCTGATCATTGTTTACATGACATCACAGTCTAGTAGTCCTAATCATTGTGTACATGACATCACTGTCCTGATATTTGTGTAAATAACATGACAATGACACTTTATTTTGACAGTTGAGAAATATCCTGATAGACTCGACTTTTTCATCAAAATCCGAAAACTTGAAAAATGAATCACAAGGAAGTAAAGCTTGGGAAGGAAGTTCTTTAATTCATAAAATACATTAAGATCAATGATATTAACACGGAGAGAAATGTACATCCTGTCACACATTGGATTACCGGTATATATACCGATATATAGGGTGAATGGTGAAATATGTGGAGTCAATGAACAACAGCAATGATTAGTGAACAATGAAAAAAGTCAAATTCATGTCCATACATAAAAAAATATTTACATGTTGTCATGGATACCTAATGGTATAATCAAATCAAATTTGCCAAATTTTCCAAGTTGTGTATAATGTTTTATGTGTAAGCTGACTACAGTACCTAAGTTACTCAATCTAATGTGTGGCTACTTGTTCTTACCTACTTACAATTTCCTTTTCCTCTTTTCTGGTGTTTTTTTTTTCCTTTCTAAGTGCTGAAGTTTTAGTGCAGTAACCATTGCTAAAAACTGAATTACAGGTCACTCAGAATGCAATAAAACAGATAATTCCAAACATTTTGCATTAGAAACTGTTCATGTTTCAAAATGGAATCTTGTATATGCTATTAGCTAAATGCTTACTAGAGTTCTAAAAAAATTTAACATATTCAACAACAATCACAATCTGAAAAGAAAGAACACAAAAATGTACTTCTGCATTGTGGAAGTATAACAATAAACAAGCTATGTACAAGTAAGGTTGCCATTGTTTACATTGCCATTTGTACACACAGCAGACAAATTGAGATCTAGATCACACACAACCTACAGTACACAACTTTGTTACATCTGACACTAGTCATTGTAAGATCACTAAAGAGGAGATTTAGTTTTGTTCACATTTTACAATCTAAATGATAAGGACTTGAACAGGTTTGGCATTTAATGTCTTTACTCAGTGATACTGTGTATAATATATAAAAACAGGAGAAAAAAACCTTTCATGTTAGTAAAGAAAAAATCTGACAAATTAAAATAATTTGTATTTGTCAGTTTCTCCTATATACCATCCTTTCATTGAATCTGGAATGTTAAAATTCATTACTGAAGACTTTTTTTTAAAGATGAAATCTTCCCCAAAATAACATTTTTTGGGAAGTCACAAACAGTATTCCATCAAATCAGAATATGAACCTTATTCTAAAATAATTAGTTGACATTTATGTACTATTAAATATTTCCAACATTACAATATCTTGTAGGTTTCTGGCAAAAGCTTGCCCCATGTGTTAAATCTACTGCCACACTGATGATCCATTTCTGCTGACACCTAGATGTTCAGTATAGATGTAGGAGCTACATCTATACATTAATGTACCTAAATAACACACCTCATGTCTATACACCTAATGACACCAACCTGTCACACTACAGGAGCAGTTCCCATTACATTTGATATAATCATAATGCTCTATGCTTATAGCTCAGTCATTGCATGTATAGTAGAGTGAGTACGGTATCAAGACAACGATAAAAAAAATGTGCATATGTGACATAGGCTAATGAATGCCACAAGAACAATTCATGGAATTGATCCATTAATGCCTCCTCACCAACAGCTGCCAATCAGAGGAGGCAGCAGGCAACTTCAGACAATTAGTAAACTACAACTGACATCACAGTCAGAAAACTACTCTAGCCTCCAACAGCAAGGTCACACAACTAGCCTTCAACTACAGCTGACAGCAAGGTCACACAACCAGCCTCCAACTACAGCTGACAGCAAGGTCATACTACCAGCTTCAAACTGCAGCTGACAGCAAGGTCATACAACCAGTCTCCAACTACAGCTGATAACAAGGTCATACAACCAGTCTCAAACTACAGCTAACAGCAAGGTCATACAACCAGCCTCAAACAACAGCTGAGAGCAAGGTCGCACAACTAGCCTCCAACTACAGCTGACAGCAAGGTCAAACAATCAGCCTCAAACTACAGCTAACAGCAAGGTCACACAACTAGCCTCCAACAGCTAACAGCAAGGTCACACAACTAGCCTCCAACTACAGCTTACGGCAAGGTCACACAACCAGCCTCCAACTAAAGCTAACAGCAAGGTTGCACACCTAGCCTCCAACTACAGCTGACAGCAAGGTCACACAACTAGCCTTCAACTACAGCTGAGAGCAAGGTCGCACAACTAGCCTCCAACTACAGCTAACAGCAAGGTCATACAAACCAGCTTCAAACTGCAGCTGACAGCAAGGTCATACAACCAGTCTCCAACTACAACTAACAGCAAGGCCATACAACCAGTCTCCAACTACAGCTGACGGCAAGGCCATACAACCAGTCTCCAACTACAACTAACAGCAAGGCCATACAACCAGTCTCCAACTACAGCTGATGGCAAGGCCATACAACCAGTCTCCAACTACAGCTAACAGCAAGGTCATACAACCAGTCTCCAACTACAGCTGACGGCAAGGTCTGAAAACTAGTCTCAAACAACAGCTGGCACCAAGATTAAAAAATTGGCCACCAATCACAACTTTTACGGTTCATTCTAAAGTTTTTAAAACAGTGGTGCCAAGATATCAGCACTAATATGTAGACAAGTATAACACTGTGGCAATACATTTATGTCACATACATACAGATATCAAATTGTCCATGCAGTAACCAGATACATAGTTGTCCTCACTAATCAGGTTATCTCTCTCTAGGCCTAGTACAAAGACAAATGATGCTAGCTAATAGCAATGTGTTCAACAGATAGAACAAATGAGTTGTCCTCACTAATCAGGTTATCTCTCTCTCTGCCTAGTACAAAGACAAATGATGCTAGCTAATAGCAATGTGTTCACCAGATAGAACAAATGAGTTGTCCTCACTAATCAGGTTATCTCTCTCTCTGCCTAGTACAAAGGCAAATGATGCTAGCTAATAGCAATGTGTTCACCAGATAGAACAATGAGTTGTCCTCACTAATCAGGTTATCTCTCTCTAGGCCTAGTATAAAGACAAATGATGCTAGCTAATAGCAATGTGTTCACCAGATAGAACAATGAGTTGTCCTCACTAATCAGGTTATCTCTCTCTCGGCCTAGTACAAAGACAAATGATGCTAGCTAATAGCAATGTGTTCACCAGATAGAACAAATGAGTTGTCCTCACTAATCAGGTTATTTCTCTCTAGGCCTAGTACAAAGACAAATGATGCTAGCTTATAGCAGTAATGTTCATGACCTCCCAGATTTTTGATATTGATGTCTACAGGATGGGAAATATCATTTTAAACCAATATTTGTGCTGGACAGCGAGGATTAACTGAGAAGATTGATGTTGTCTGAAGAAGGTAAATAATGGGGTAATGACCATACAAAGCTATAGACTGGCTATGGTGTCATTAGGTGATGACAAAAGCATCTATCAATGGGTACAAAAACAAAACATACAAAGGCTAGAAATCAAGGTGTAATCACAAACATAAGAGCCATACTTCTAGATGTAAACTTTAACGGTCAAAAAGAAAAACTAAAAGATTTCTATGAATATGAGAATGACGAATAAACGAATCTAATTGGTCAACTCAAATACCTCATAGGTTTGAAGATGGGGGTGTGGAAACAAAAGAATATTACACAGAAAAATTCAAACAATTTCAATGCAGAGCAATGAAAAACAGGTAATGGAGGATATGATAAATGGCATCATGCCATGACTCTGTGAAAGTTATCGCTATTTTTACATGACATGTGGGTCCACACAATCTACAGTACACAGAATGTTGCTAGTGCTCCCTGCAGTCTAGATATAGTACAAGTTTGATTAAACACAATGAGGATTTCATTAGGACTGTTCTGAAATGCTATCAACAGTTTGTTGGTAAAACCTTATCACAGATCAGAATATAATGGTATCATTTCTACACTATTGTTAACCTATCAAGATTCCATTAACTCATTATAGCTCTCTTATACTACACAAAATATACAGTTCAAAATACGTTATTTTTCCCAGAAATCCCTCCACTAGCACTTCAGACCTTCACATAAACTCTGACCAAACAAGAATTTCTTAATTGGAAAGTATTCATAATTAATATATACATTTATCCGATACTGGTTATCTCTAAATCTCATAAATTACTTTCCATCTGTACAGGGTATACATTTTGTGTAACTAGTGAAAAAGCAATCTAGTACGTCTTTCAGAATGAGTCATAAAAAAAGCTCAGGATTTCATAGCATCAAAAGCTTTTCAAAGTACTGTGTAAGTGTTTTTGTTAATCAGTCATTTATAAATACACATGTTACTTAAAAATTAATTGAAATCCTTATTACAAACTCATCTTCTTCCTTTAAGAACCAGTTTGTGAGACCAACTGTATGTAAACAAATACCATTGCATACACATTTGTGATAAGTAAATGCAGATTGTGAATTTATAAAACAAAATATACAATATTTGCCATTGTGTATACCTCACAATTATGAGATGTCTTATGAATAATAAGTGTTGTTAAAAAAAAAATAAAAAAATAAAACCAACAACAATAATGAAAAGTCACACACTGTGATTCAACATCTTGGAAATTACTGAAGTAAAAAAACCGAGAATATCAAATATATGTACAGTTGAATTTTGCATTAACAAAAAATAGTGATCAACCTAATATCTGATGCTACTAGTCAAGGCATTTCTCTTTAAACAGATGCCCAAGTATGATCCTCCATCCAAACTTTAAATCGGTGCCCCTATCACCATGGAGCTTTATTCCACTTTCACTGTTCCATGGTAGATAACCACAATAGAGAAAACCTGTTTTACATGACATTTTGTAGAGAATGTTTCATCTTTTTATGAGTGTTGAGCAAATTTTGTTGAGGTAACAAGAAAGATACTTTAAAGCTGGTTCGAATTAATCCATATAATGGAATTAAATTTTAGGAGAGGTGTTTTAACAAGTGTTATTAATGTATTTGTAAAATCTCTTGGGTTGCAACTTGAAAATTAACAGTATTCCACTTAATTATCCTTAAGTGTGCTGCCATCTTGACTGGACATATCGCTACTAACAAGGGTGCACAACATTATTATCAAGGCTGGTACTTTGTCCGATAGAGAGATCACAACTCAGCAACACAATCTTTCAGGATAGCAGTCTCCATTTTATATGTCCAGGCACAACAATTATGCGGAATACATCACAGCTCCTCCATTACAGAGACTTCTCACAAATATATTGCTCTATAGGCACAACCAAGAATGGTGAATTAAAGCAATAACTGACAGCTTGGATGACACACAGGAAATTTGGCATACCCCAAATGTAATGACTTTTCATCACATCTTATTCCTCAGCTAGTGAAAGTCAACATTCAAGTCTGAACACGATCCTCAAGATTTAACCATAAAAGTTTTAAATATATATCAATCATCATATATATCTTTTCATTCAGTATATAAACAGTTATTCTTTAAAATGAAACAAAACAAAAACACCCGACTCAGAGCGGCTGGTTACTGCCATCACACTGTAATAGCCGTACAATGGATGGGTCACTTTTGGCTCCTTCAATAAACTCTTGTAGAGACAGCTTTCCATCATTGTTCTTGTCCATTTGTTTGAATATTTTTTCAGTCCTCTTTTCTGGTGTAGATTCATCCTCCGGCATTTTCATCACTGTTCCAACCATCTTGTATATAGCCTGAACGAATAAAGAAATCAGTAAAGGAACATTCAAGCTTGATCAAGGTCTTCCTTTTTTTAAAGTATTAGATTGACTGCTTAAATGAAGTTAACCCTGATCTTAACACCCACCATTGTTTGAATATTATTATTTTGTATCTTGTCGTCTCTTTTCTTTTTGTTCTTGTGCTTTTGTTCTTAATCATATAGAAATTGCAATAATAATCTTTCACTTTTAAATCAAATAATTTATCTGCCACTTTGTTTACCTGATCGGTCCTAAAACCAAAAGGGCATATCTTACATTGAAGGAGTAAGGGTAATCTACATATGAAAATTTGAAAAAGATCCATCCAGTTTTTCTCAAGAAATAGCAATAATAAATACTCATTGTGAAAATCCATGATGCCCACAGATTGGCCACTTCTGATCTAAGAGTCCCAAAATCAATAAGGAACAACTAAAGATCTAGGGTAATCTACCTCTGAAATTTCACAAAGGTCAATCAAGCCCTATTTAGAAAAAGCAAAAAATTTTCATAGTCAAAATCCAAGATAGCAGCCATTTGGTTTTTCTGATAAGATACCAATAGTGTGTCAGTCACAGTACACAGATACCAGTAGTGTATCAGTCACAGTACATAGATACCAGTAGTGTATCAGTCACAGTACATAGATACCAGTAGTGTATCAGTCACAGTACATAGATACCAGGAGTGTGTCAGTCACAGTACATAGATACCAGTAGTGTATCAGTCACAGTACATAGATACCAGGAGTGTGTCAGTCACAGTACATAGATACCAGTAGTGTGTCAGTCACAGTACATAGATACCAGTAGTGTATCAGTCACAGTACATAGATACCAGTAGTGTGTCAGTCAAAGTACATAGATACCAGTAGTGTGTCAGTCACAGTACATAGATACCAGGAGTGTGTCAGTCACAGTACATAGATACCAGTAGTGTATCAGTCACAGTACATAGATACCAGTAGTGTATCAGTCACAGTACATAGATACCAGGAGTGTGTCAGTCACAGTACATAGATACCAGTAGTGTGTCAGTCACAGTACATAGATACCAGTAGTGTATCAGTCACAGTACATAGATACCAGTAGTGTATCAGTCACAGTACATAGATACCAGTAGTGTATCAGTCACAGTACATAGATACCAGTAGTGTATCAGTCACAGTACATAGATACCAGTAGTGTATCAGTCACAGTACATAGATACCAGTATCAGGTAAGTAAACAGTGTACATTGGATTAAAGTTAAGCCAAAAAAGTTTGTTGATTCCTTACTGTCTTGTATGCTTCACACTTCACATTTGTCTGATGAAGCATACTGTGTAGTCATACAAAAACCTCACTAAAATCTTTTTCTTATTTCATTTTATGAACTTCAATTGTATCTTGGTTGTATTTAGCCTTTAGTAACTGGAATCATTTGTATAAACATATAACATGTCTTTCATTTACACAATGTCTTTGTGTGCTGGGATTATCAAATCAGTCAGTTATTTTGAGTCTCCTTGCAGCAGCTGGTGACTACATCAATGAACATTATGCAGGAGGTCAGCTGCATTCTATCTAAAGCAAATATGTTTTGATTATGGACACAACCACAACAGTACAGGATGGTCTGTAATTTCAGTGTCCAAAGAAACTAAGCAGGGATCACACCACTCATCAAATGACTTAGCTATCACTGATCCTTATGTCTAAGTATGGGTAGTATGAAGCATCATGATACTTATCACTTAACAAAGATCTTAAACCTAATGGAAAATATGTTATCTAGCTGGATTTGTCTTGTCAACTCTCTGATAATCTGAAAACCTGCTCTGTAATGATATCTAGCATGGCTTTACTGAGGAAGGATGGTATGTCTTGTCATCTAACAGGTTAATCTTCAATAAGATCTGTAATCTTCGCTGCAATATCTCTACTTTTGAACAGTCATACTCACTTTAACAATTTCCAACATCTCTTCTTTTGAGATATATCCATTGCCATCCAAATCATACATGTTGAAAGCCCATTTTAATTTCTGTTCTAACTTTCCACGACTTGTGACACTCAGTGCACAGATGAACTCCCTGAAATCTATTGTGCCATCACCATTTGTGTCGAAGGTCCTGAAAACATGTTCTGCAAATTTAGATGCATCTCCATATGGAAAAAAATTTCCATAAATCTTCTTGAACTCATCAACAGTCAAATGGCCACTGGGGCAGTCCTTAAGAAAACCTTTATACCATTCCTGTAGCTCATGATCACTAAACTCTGTCTCTTGTTTCAAGTCCTCCAAGGCATCTGGCTTCAGTTTACTGTTCTGCTTTCCCATGGTGTCTCTATAAGGCAGAAGTTCTTTGTCAGCTATTTGCACAAAGTTCCTATAATGAAAGAAAAATGGAATAACCTTTTGATAATTTATAGAATTTTCTATTTTATACTTACACGTACATCCTAACATAAAGAACCAAATTATAGCATGGATAGAATTTCCTATTTTATGCTTACACGTACATCCTAACATAAAGAACCAAATTATAGCATGAATAGAATTTTCGTTATTTTAAAAATTATTATCCTACTTTTACTGAAGGTATGAATTAGAAAAGGTTAACTAAGCCATAAGTTCTATAGACATTACCAGGCAAAGAAATACTTTTAGCTTGTTGACTGGTGAAAACCATTTACAGGGAACAACTCCTGTATTTCCAGTTTACTAGGAGAGAAAAGCAGCATGGAAAAGCAATACCCCCTAATAGGTGATTTGGCAAACATGGTTTGTGGAAACACAGATTCAGATAGAATGATTGTACTATATATCTTAAACCTATGTATATAACTTCAAGTAAACTTACCAGCCACAGAATTAGAAGGTATGCATCACATCATAAGTCAATGAAAATATCAAATAAAGCAAATACATATTGAAACCCTCGAAATAAAACAATATTGCAATCACAAAACTACACTTGTTAGGTATTGAGAAAAAAGAAATGCAAGAAAAGGGACAGAACTCCCAGGAAAATCAGACATTAACAACTTACAAAGTTACCAATATGGAGTAAGAAGTACAGGCAGACATATGTGCCGGAGATAAATTCTTTCAGTTAGTCTTATGAGATACCTCATCAGAATTTCAGATAGTCTTAAGAGATACCTCATCAGAATTTCAGATAGTCTTAAGAGATACCTCATCAGAATTTCAGATAGTCTTATGAGATACCTCATCAGAATTTCAGATAGTCTTAAGAGATACCTCATCAGAATTTCAGATAGTCTTATGAGATACCTCATCAGAATTTCAGATAGTCTTATGAGATACCTCATCAGAATTTCAGATAGTCTTAAGAGATACCTCATCAGAATTTCAGATACCTCATCAGAATTTCAGATAGTCTTAAGAGATACCTCATCAGAATTTCAGATAGTCAGAATTTTAAGAGATACCTCATCAGAATTTCAGATAGTCTTAAGAGATACCTCATCAGAATTTCAGATAGTCTTAAGAGATACCTCATCAGAATTTCAGATAGTCTTAAGAGATACCTCATCAGAATTTCAGATAGTCTTAAGAGATACCTCATCAGAATTTCAGATAGTCTTAAGAGATACCTCATCAGAATTTCAGATAGTCTCAGAAAGAGATACCTCATCAGAATTTCAGATAGTCTTAAGAGATACCTCATCAGAATTTCAGATAGTCTTAAGAGATACCTCATCAGAATTTCAGATAGTCTTAAGAGATACCTCATCAGAATTTCAGATAGTCTTAAGAGATACCTCATCAGAATTTCAGATAGTCTTAAGAGATACCTCATCAGAATTTCAGATAGTCTTAAGAGATACCTCATCAGAATTTCAGATAGTCTTAAGAGATACCTCATCAGAATTTCAGATAGTCTTATGAGATACCTCATCAGAATTTCAGATAGTCTTAAGAGATACCTTATTAATTATTCTTTGATTTTTTTGATAAAGAATCATGTAATCTCCTCCAGATGGTGGCATCTTATTGCATGAAGAAATATATTAACACAGTGGCTATGTGTGATGGTCAATTCAACATTCTCATTGGTACAAGATACAAAAGGAGGATATTTATGAGAGATTAGACACGATACAGGGGTCAAGGTTCACCACTATCACATCTGGAAAAAAATCAATGCTCTAGAGCAAATACCACAACACAGAACTTGTTGGTATCACCAACTGACATGTCAAAGGCTGGGACAATGCATGGCATTATAAATTTCCCTCCTGTATCAATAGTTGTGATCGTGTGCTGGATGGAGCCTTGGAATAAAACAGTACACATTCATTAAATATTGAACAGGCCCACTGATTACTATTATGTCTAGTCTGAGAGGATGAGAGCTATCTTTTCAGCCAGTAACAGCTCACACAGGGGCTGCATTGATTTTCTACTCCACAGGTGCCCATAATTACCATTCATCTATATCTACCTATCATCAGGTCATGTGACCTTACACACACGATTTGTTTTACTAATCTATATCTACCCATCATCAGGTCATGTGACCTCACACACATATATTTTGTTTTACTCATCTATATCTACCCATCATCAGGTCATGTGACCTCACACACAAATATTTTGTTTTACTCATCTTTATTTACCTATCATCAGGTCATGTGACCTCACACACATATTTTGTTTTACTCATCTATATCTACCCATCATCAGGTCATGTGACCTCACACACACCATTTGTTTTACTCATCTATATCTACCCATCATCAGGTCATGTGACCTCACACACACGATTTGTTTTACTCATCTATATCTACCCATCATCAGGTCATGTGACCTCACACACACACGTTTTGTTTTACTCATCTATATCTACCCATCATCAGGTCATGTGACCTCACACACACATAATTTGCTTTACTCATCTATCACACACACATAATTTGCTTTACTCATCTATATCTACCCATCATCAGGTCATGTGACCTCACACACACGATTTGTTTTACTCATCTATATCTACCCATCATCAGGTCATGTGACCTCACACACACGATTTGTTTTACTCATCTATATCTACCCATCATCAGGTCATGTGACCTCACACACACATATTTTGTTTTACTCATCTATATCTACCCATCATCAGGTCATGTGACCTCACACACACATAATTTGCTTTACTCATCTATATCTACCCATCATCAGGTCATGTGACCTCACACACACATAATTTGCTTTACTCATCTATATCTACCCATCATCAGGTCATGTGACCTCACACACACACATAATTTGCTTTACTCATCTATATCCACCCATCATCAGGTCATGTGACCTCACACACACATAATTTGCTTTACTCATCTATATCTACCCATCATCAGGTCATATGCCAGTCATATGTACAGTAGATAATGGAGGAATCAGTATCAAGATAACATAATTCTAATATCAAAATTGATTAGCAGTAAAACAAATGAATACTATCAGTTAGCAGTGTACTAGCATGGTTTCCATGCCAGTCAAGTGCCAACAAAGTTTACAAATTAAGAGGTCAATCACTGAACTGCAGTTAACTAGCAAGGTTACCATGCCTGGCCTTCTGACATTATATACCATAAATTTATGCGTATAGAGCGCACTTTTTCAAGCTAAAACTGTCGAGTCAAATGGGGGTGCGCATTATATGCAGGAACATGCCATTCTTTGGGTTATCATTCCCAAGTTCTGCGTCCGCCATATTTGGTTTATCTCCCTTCACATAGTTCTATGTGAGAGTCGTCGGTCACAAATGATAATTTGGGGATAAATACAACAAAAAATAAAAATTTCGAATGTTTTAATCATCGGCAATACACGCTAGCATTATGGTGAATCTGTCTTTTTTCGTTTCCCGTCGTTCGAATAGTCAGTCTTACTATTGGTCGGGGCTATAGTAGTTTGGTCGTTATTCCCCATCCTTGATGGGTCAATTTCGTATGTCTGCCTCATTTTGATGATGTAACTCTGAAATTCAACGAGACTGTCTTCGTAGTCATCTGTAAGTTTTTTGGCAATTGTCGTTCTCCGGATAGGGCAGCCCATCCCATTGATGCTTAAAGTTGTTGACCCCATGACCTCTCTTGATCTGCATGGCCCGCACGTGCAGTTCTGTTGTACTGACAGCAATGCTGGCATCTCAGCGATCGCATACAAAGTTGAACATCTCCCTCTCCATCTCTGGGTGTTTTGCTGTCGCACCTCTGTCAGTCCTTCTGGTCAGGACTTTAGACATTCTTCTTTTTTCTTCCATGCCCTGATATTTGACTATGGAATGTTGGAAGTGGCGACCGGCGGCACGAAACGCAAGTGTCTTGGCGTAGTCCATGGTGTCCATTTTTCTTTCACTGTAAACAATGTTTGCTGTTTCCCCATGTTGAAGTCGGTGTAAACAATCTATAACTAAGTACCTTTCGATACCACGGTAGGTACAGATATGGGGACAAGGTAGGATTGAAAATTTACAGACAGTTAAAACAACATCGTTTTTTGACCAAAAGCACGCGATCAGCCCAAGCTGGGTGTCATCAATCTCCTAATACTCAACGTGTTACCTGTTGAGAACCGTTAATTATCCAATTAGCCAAGTCTTTCATGCTTGTGAAGTCAGGTACCTGTGTGAATTTGTTTACGTAAGGTACTTAAATGAGTTAGGATCTCGCTCATTGTGGTTTCCTAATTATCAATGGATCAAACCACATCAACTGTGTCATCGCGGTAACCAGTAATGAATAAAACTTTCTGTAGAAAATCTGGGTTTTTTTTTTTTTTTTTAATCTGACCCCAAAAAAGTACCTGCGCATTATACCCGAGTGCGCATTAAACCCCCAAATTTACGGTATATCTTTTTTGACATGGCTCTGCCAATGATGTATAAAGTATGTCAAATTTACAGTCATAACCAAATAATTATATCATTTTTCAAAACATAAAACAAGTTTAACATAAAGAGAAAATTATACTAAATTTATTACAAAACTAAGACTGAAAAGACATTACACCGTCTTGAGTCCAGCTGTGTATGAGTTACACAACAATTAATACCGAATAGCATGTTTATGTATAAAATGGATAACATCAAAATATAACAGAGCATAATGAAAATCAGTGTGCAACATACTTGATTGTATACAAATTGTAAAGTTTCGTTTCAGCTATACCATTTGATAAACAGAGCTTGTAGTACTATCATGGTAGGCTTTTTAGCCTCAATACTGTCACCCTGACTTGTAGTACTATCATAGTAGGCTTTTTAGCCTCAATATTGTCACCCTGACATGGTAGGCTTTTTAGCCTCAATATTGTCACCCTGACATGGTAGGTTTTTTAGCCTCAATATTGTCACCC